AGGATTCTCAGGATAACGGTTATTATGGACTATTGCTGACGTCTTTCCAACCTTCGTCTGACTAACTGGAGAAATCGAGTCCATATCTTCCGGGTTTCTGCTACACTACTTTCAGGCCCTTACTTCAATAAGAGAAATCGCCTACCTAAGTTCATCATATTCAAAGCTAGTAATGCATAGCATTGCGTAATCATGGCAATCTCACTGGCAACCGTAGTGAAAATCCTGCGCCAGAATAGCAAATCGAAAAGATCCAACAAAGCGCACCGTAACACATTTTCAGCGTGCCGGGTGGGGATAATGAATCACGACAAGTAGTCATGTACGCCTGTTATGAACCAATCACTGGCTGTCTTAAAAAGCAGCTGAAACTTGCGTGGACAGATCTCTATCTACAGGTTAGGCAGATCTTTCTGGGAAATTTACATTCCGCTCTAGAAATCTTCGAAAAAATTCTGATGGATCGTATATCGCTCAGCTGCTATCCTCTGAAAGATATCAGGAAACGAAACGAAGGAAAGATGCTTTACTTCTGGGGTTGAAAAAATCTGGACAGTCCGGCTAAAAAAAGCTGTCAAAACTGGTACATTATGTAATCCTTTTGTGAACACAAGAGAACGCATTTAGAGTTGTTGCGATGATTTATATACGTTAGCACTCACAGAGGTTTGAGGGGAATACTTTACCGAAGTAGCCAATCCAGCTTAATTCAGTTTCCTCTTTTCGTTCGTGGCTTGAGGAATAAATGAGACGTTTAAGCCGAATACAATGCATATCGCTACAGCACAAAAAACCGATGTCACGGTCACAGTAAATTTAATCTAGTTCCAATTTAGTAAAGTTAATGTGAAACCGATTTGCAGGTTCAATGGTGATTGTGAACCTCATCGTCTTTCGAACAACCCGGTTGGTAACATCTAACTTTTGGCTTAGAAGAATGAAGAATACTCATGAAATCAACTTACCTCCTTAGAAGTTATGTTAACCTTGACAAGTTGTTCGCTGAACGACGAGATGCCGAAGAGTAGAACATTGTTAGTGGTTGAAAAATCGGTTGTCCAGGCGGAAAGCGGTAGGTACTCGTCGATGAAGTGCATCGAGGTAACTTCTGAAGAAACTGAGTTGCAGCAAAGTACTCGCAAAAAAACCTAACCATACCTTTGCTGTTAACCTTTTGCACAAAAAATCGTCCCAATGTTGGTTCCACTGACACAATATACTGATTGCTAGCGCTTACTGTGGGAATTCCATGAATTCCTGTGTCAAAGCTCAACACGGTATCACTTAAATAATCCAGGATCAGCTGTGAATCCGGTTGGCTGATGTTGGATTGACCGCACTGAATAACAACGAGTCCAACTAAAACGCTCATATACATGCACTTCATTAAAAAGTTATATTAGTTAAAGAAGCAGCCTCAAGAGTAGCAGTTGAGTACTTATGTACATTACTATAGAGCATCATTCTTTCATAACTTCTCATGCATTGTACGACAAAATTATGCTATTTTCAAGGATGATTTTTTTTAACGAGTTTTACTAACCAATAACGTTTTACTTTACTAGCAGCTAAAGGCAAGAAAACCATATATGCAACTTTTTTTCTAAAAGTAAACCTTAAATGCTGTTGTGTTCATTTCTTTCTTAGTACTTGTCGAGAACTAAAAGCTTAAGATTGGTGATAGATTGTCTACTTTATAACTATATTCCCTTACCAAGAATGAGTAACAACTACTTTTAAATCGCATGAAACACTGAACGATGATGACAAGCAATACAAATAATGAATGTGTACTTTCTAGCCTATAGCACATCGTTGATTGTTGTGATATGGTGAATTGAGAGGTCCTTTCTTTAAAGGAGACATATCTAAAAAGAGTTATGCGAACCACTAATTGGGATGTATGTAGAAAATGTAGTGATCCATCTGAAGAGGGCATTTTTCATTGTCGTAAAGTCATATGCATATAATACACGGAGCTACACCTATGTGTAGAAGTTCGTTTAAGGTAGAAGACGAATATAAATCAGTCCTCGCAGAGTACTTGACCATTCTTTCTTTTTGTTGCTCGATCGTTTCTTGTGTTGCTTAAAATTAGCTATAAATGTAGAACCCGTATTATTAATCACATTTCACCATATTCATAACAACGCATTGCGTGCTACAGCGAGAACGACTACTACGACAATTTGAAATAGTCATTTTTCCACATGCAGGTGAGTCACCGTTGATTGTAATACGTACCCTTTTCTACAAAAGCGAGCGAGAGAGGATGACAATCATACGGTGCCAGACTGACTTGACTTATTACCCGCAAGCTGTGCAGATCCACCTTGTGCAAAGTCTTTTCTTTTCTGTGGCTAATGTACCCGTACTTCATCTCGTGGCTGACGGGCAGAAAGACGTTTTCGATCTTAAGAGAGCAAACGTTAGAAAAAGCGTTCCATTATGGACACAGGTGTCGCTTACCTCGTTGAACTCCTCCTGAAGAGGCAGTGCGTGCATCAACGATTGTTGAATTGGCTTTGACGCTGATCGAATTATTTGTATTATCTTGTAATGTCCTTCATGGGGGATTTCTTCAATCCATATCGTATCTTCCCACCAGATGTACCAAAGCTTCACTGGCGTGTGATCGGGCCGGAAAACCTGTAATCACTTTAAACTGTGAATCGAAGTTAAGCCGATGGATTGATCCAAAGATTTCGAGTGAATGCGAAGGTTGCACTTTTCCGTGGCTTCGTTATAATCGTTAGATTAAACGGACAATCTGAAAATGAGTGCAGCCGTTTCTATGACAACCCTTTAAGATCGGGCGCAATCATTGCTGCTGATCGTTCAGAAAACACTGGGCAAGACGTGTCCTAAATTTTACGATTGAAGTGGGTGCGGCCTCGCCTCAGACAAATGCTGAAAAGGCATGGACCCAAATCATATTTCTGCCGACCGTCTGAAGCATGGTGGACACATAACATCGTGGTAAAACTGTTAACCAGGTATCTCCAACAAGGTGACACCCTATGATACTAGTAATTCTCACGGTAATTGAGCACACCTTAAAATTATAGGTCTGTACGCTTGTTATCCGATGTACATAAATATTTCGAGAACGCTGTTAGATGGTTTAAGTAAGAGGTTGGACTAGCCACAGCCGACCGAGCAGACTGACTTCGCTTATAGTTTTCCCCATTCGAGCACCTCTAGGAATAGAATCAGCTGCTCATCCGAAAAGTGTCGTGAGGGTAGGCGTCCATATACATGATTTTTTTTCGACCATGAAAATACAATCAGCATTGTGCAGAAGGAACCAGTGTTCCAGGAATCGGAAGAGTCAGGAATTGGACAAGAATACAAGATCTGTGCTAAAGAAGTAGCACAAAAGTTCGATTGCCGGAAGATGCGGTTGAAATCAAGGTTTTTGGTTGAGTTCTCATTCGTCGAGAAAATGCCATATCCCTCAAGCTGTTTATCGCATGCTTAGGATCACTGAGCCGCAAAATGAAATGGAATGGAGGATTTCTAACCAGTGGCAAATGGCTCACTTATCTTCGATTTGCTGCTGGGAATGAAGCTAAAGGAAGTTGAAGCCACGCTAAGTGAGCTAGAGTTTAAGAGCAAGCAACCCGGACTTCATAAAAACGTGGCAAAAACAAAAATGACGAGAAACCAATCCTTTTATCCAACATGTTTGAGTCAACTGCTGCGGCACAGGCTCAGCTCCACGTTTGACCACTCTTTTCAGAATTGTGCTCTTTACTTCTACCGATGACCAAACGGCTTCGTCGCACCACCGTCCAAATGTGTTGGTGGACGACCGAGTAGATATTTTCTGTCAAGGGTGTATCAGTGCGCACAACGAGTACAAGCAGTGAGGTAATCGCATTTGGTACATGGTATAGAGGGAAGAGCTTGTAAATTCCACTGTCCTTTATCACTACGAGATTTCTTTCCTCCACTTAGTACTAGATCAGCTCTTCACAGCAGTATTCATGGGAGGATGGGGGGGGGGTAGGAGGACAGAGTCGAACATGTCTTTATTCGCGGACATGGGCAATTCGCTTTCCAGCAACAACGATGTTTTGATGTGATCAAAAATTGCCCTGCCGCTTTCGTTCCTCCGCATATCTCATTGTTCAAACTGTCTGTTAGGTTGCCGAGGCATTAGGTAGCTAGCGATTTTTTCCACTTCTTCGCCGTCAATGAAAACGATACCACTGTGCATTCATTTCATCTTGGAGATGCTCACTTCCAGACCAATGGAGCGTGGCTCTTGCAAC